AAGGTAAGCTACCGAGCATTTGAAAGTAGATTTTAGTTTTAATTCGATGGGAGCTTTTGGCCTCTATAATCATGCTTGCCGAATTTTGTACTATTGTTACGATGTACCTATTTTGCGATTTTTGGTTATGAATAGGAAGCTCAAATGCGAAAGCGTTCTTCCCTTAATAAAGTGACTTAAAATGACTTAAACCGTCCGATGGCCTGCTGATACGCCAGTGATATTCCAGAACATTACTTGCATGGCGTTGATTTTATCGAAGAACATATATTTCGGGATCATACTATTTCATCACCTCCAGCATGCGTAAATAATAAAAAGAACGCTTAGTCGATTCTGCTCTGCAGCCCTCATGGCTTTCTTATTATCATACAGTCGTTAGATTTAAGTGTGCCGTGGCCGGGTGATTCGTCCTATTTTCACGTGCCGCGCCGTAAAAAATAACGATTGCTATCAACGCAGAAGCCCATCGTTTTTTCTTGTGTCTACGGGCTTAATTTTGAGGAATAACATTTCCGTATTTTGCTTACGGTTAATAGCGGCGGCCGGTACGACAATGGCGCTGACTCATATGATGGACCTATAACCACGGAAATGAAGCCCATAATGCAAAATATAATAGCACCTACAACAAAACATGACTTGATGGACTATGTGAAAATTTTGTTGTGTCGGCACAAACCTAAGATGAAAACGACGGTGAAATAATAAAAAAATGTGCTACATATTCCTGCAAACTGGAACCACTTCCAAGATCGGTCGTTGTAGAGTTGCTACTACGTCGAGAAAGATTCCAAATTTCAGCAGCTTGTTGAATTACTTTATACTATAGCAAGAATCGGCCTGTGACCGACACAATTTTAGGCAGATATTAAAATTGGGCATTGCGATTGGTTAAGATATATTGGGACATTTGAACGTATATAATGAAAAATCGACAAAATACAACAGTCAAATCCGAAGACGGCTTGACGCGAGTTGTAATTTGCGCTTGTGTTGATTGTTTCGTACATGCAGGCAGGTGTACAGAGAAGTTCAGGTAAACAATACATTGTTAAAATGGAAAGTGTACACATACATCTACATCTCAAGTCATCAACGGTATTTTTGTTGGCTAGTGTTCAAGGTCTTAATTAAAATTGACCTTGTGTGTCTAAAAGAAAATTGTATGGAAATTCTGAAATTGTAACAGTTTGGACTGATTTTACTAGTGCTAGCTAGGAAAAGTGATCTGTGTTAATTTAAACCAATAGTTTAAGGTCACAAGTTTGCGTCTATTGTGTGAATTTGATTTTCTTTTGGCAGTGTTGTCCGAGAACGGAATTATGTCCAATGTTCATAATATAAAACACTGTTTGGGTGAGCGATTAAAACGTTCATTAGATAAAATATTGATTTTTTATATCTTTAGCAGTCCATGTATTTATGCTAGGCGACTTCGCGCGGCGCTAGCATTTTTCTGTCGGGCTCAAACACACCTGCGTGTAAGGTACTTTTTTGGCCTTACCCCACCCCCTAGCGCACAAGGGAACGGAGGTGTCCGGGGATAAGTTACGTTGATTTTCGAAAAAAAGGCTTTAAATACCTACTTTTCAAAACCTTTTTCATCAGTAAATTGTTAATCATGTTGTCCTCTAACATAACAACTAATTTGGAGCAGCCCACTGCGAAAATATTTTTCCGAAGAAGGTTGGAAACTCGTCGTCAGCCCCGTCCATTTGCGCAGAAATGTCCGAGCGCTGAGCTAGCGCAACGTTTTCTTGATGTTTCCTGGAAAAGCCAGTCACCTGATTGGCGGAAGTTGCAACGCGTTGTGACCTGATTAGCCGAGTTCACGACCAGGAGTGCTTTCAGGCTAGAAGCGATTTCCGGATCAGTAGATCTCTTGGGGCTTGCATTCAGAGCAGGTTGGTATTCCATACGCTGATTAGTGCACACTGTCGTTGTTTCAGTTTTGAGCGCACAATGCAGGCCTAGGCAATAGGCCTTCTAGGACGGAAAGTATCAAGAAATCTGCCATCAGAATTAAATAAGCACTCAAAATGATGCCGATTCAAACCAAGGACATTTTTTCGCTATGTTCACATCGTGCACGTTGTGGAATAGCTTCTGCTTAAACAGCAACATATCCTTCGACTTTATTTCGCATATTGCTACAAATTCCATGGTGGGGCCATGGTGGGGTCTGGAGGGGCTGGTGTTTCAAGGGTAAATACCGTCACCGATATGTCAGATATATAGTTAGCTTACACTGCCAACCGTCTGGTTAATTGAGTGTTGCCATTCATGCTAATACTTTTGAGTATAGTTATCATAATTCTGCACATACGGTCATTTTCGAAATACTTTAGTCGGGACATTAACAATTATACACAAAAGAAAATCTGTTTCTCACCGTGAATGCTTTGAAAGTTTAGGTTCATTTCATTTAGCCGTAGTCGCCAGTCCAGTGCAAACGTTTTAATGTCAAAGCCTTAATCAGAAAAAAATATTTACTACAGTGTTAAAGTGGCATTCTTGACATCTTTTCGAGGGCAAGATTTATAAATAAAAAAAATTTAAGTAAATTATAACAGTTGTATGCGTTATAAAATATATCTAAACGAAATTTAACCTTAAGGCCTCGAGCAAAAACCTTTACACAAAGAGTTAGTTTTTAGGCTAGTATAGAAAATCTTCAAGCTTGTGTCATATATTAGCAGCACATCTTTATTGACCCTGTTTTTTATTCTGACTTAAAATCTTAAAAACTGGACGCAAAAAAGTTATGTTGGTAGGCAGACCATGAAAAAAAGTCTTCATTACGACTTTCTCGAAGAAAATGCGGTGGCATATTTCTGCCGTGATGTATACATTCTCGGCATATACTGCAGTTGTGTTTTGATTCCTGGATTTCTATGGGAGTCAAGAGAGTTGAGGTAAAGTAGGCCACATTGGCTGAATTCGAATGAAGTCCCTGTTATAATCAAATCTACCTTAATCTATATCATAAGTCGTTCTTTACCTACAAATGAACAGGATGTAGTATTATTGGGAAGAGGTGTTTGCTTTATCCTTTTTTACGTATTCGTTCAACTAACGTTGAGACGACATGCAGTTTGTTCGGAAATACAGTTGTGGCTTGAGTGTTGTGCGCTTTCAGTGCACATTTTATGTATTTTCACGCAACTGAATAGGTCCACGAAGGGTAGCGTGCTGACAAGGCATACCAAAAATATCTAGGACACAGTTCGTACCAGCAGCCTTCTTGTAGTTATTAGAATTTTCCGTGGACTTTCATGTCAGAAGTAATGGTATTCTTGTTTGACAGATAACCACCGAAAAAAAGAATCAGAATGCGTGAAGCAGGCTCGGCCGATGGAGCATCGTGCGCATCATACTTTACAATCAACGCAAGCCCACGATCCCACATGGTTAGGCGTGCTAAAGAGCTCTGATCGCTGAGATATCTGCTGCCTGCCTGATGTGGTTTTTATCGGCTGGGCATTTCAGTGTATATGAAAGCATTCATCAATGTCAATCTGGACCCTAAAATGGAGTTAATAGAAGAAAGTTATCAATGTAAAGATGCTAAGCCGCACCATTGGGGAAACATTTCCACCTTTGCACGTGTTTTAAACGCTAACTTGATTTTCTGGTTAGATTACTTACTTTGCCGGCAAAGTTGGCGCAATTAGATAAAGAACTATTTTAGGTCCGTCAGATGCACACAACAGTGAGTGTTCTTTGCCGTTTTATTTTCTTTGATTGGAGAATAAAATAAGCTCGCAGACCACAAAAACTTATATGGTTCAAGTTAGAGGTTTTTGCGTGTGGAATAGGCTGCGTCGGGTCTTGAGTTGCATATGAGTAATAACACGCTTTGGGCACTTGATGTGTAATCAGAGGCATATTGGCGTCCGATACAATATATAGGACAGTATTTGCGGTCCACTGCACTTACACTATACCATTTTTATCCTTTTTTGTCGGCCTAAGTCTGCACATTTCCCACAGAAAAAATCCTGAACGAAAATAACCAATGAAATGCTCATAAATGTTGGTATACAATATAACAAGCATGCTCATGAAAATTCAAATACGTTGGAACTGTTTGCCTTCCTATCCTCTGTCTTCCATTTGCCATTCCACATAAAGTTACACAAGACATACCCAATAAATGTTGAGCGTCGTAGCTCATATTCAACGGCCCCCACCACAGGCAACTCTACTTGCTATGAAGAAGACGGCTTGATCACTAGGACAATACGTTTATTCGCCTGACGTTTCCATATCCGCCGTGGATTCATTATCAGAGACATGAGTAGTAAACAGTAAAAGAAACGTTTCTGTTATTTTTTTTACTCCTATCTCTGATGATGAATCCGCGACGGATGCCGAAACGTCAGGCAAATAAACGTATTGTCCCAACGATCGAGTCTTCTTTTTCTCTTTTGCTTCCTGGGACTCGCATGTTCGCTTGTACTGGCAACCCTTCCTGCTATTAATTATGGTGTTATGGGTATGCCAGTAACACACTCAGCAAACAAATAACAAAATAATGTATGCGCTTGTTTCTGCTGTGCATTGTTTACAGTGATATGTCAAGCCACACTTTCCTTTTAAATAGATGGTGCCCTCCGAGATGATAACCCGAAGCGGCTTCTGTGCTTCGCTAGAATCCGAGATTTCATGCTTCAGGCATCATCGGACGACATACAGACCACTGTGGATGGTATAATTAAACGTTTTAAAAGGGAAGGCTCGAACAACCCGCGAATCGCTCATTGGTTGCTAAATATTCTTCAAATGTGTACAGTTCATTGTACAGAAACGTTTTTGGAGGAATTAAACGATGAGGATATGTTGCGTCCATTATGTAGAGCCCTATGTAAGGAGAAATACATGAAACACTACGATGAAGTCGTACGCCTTAAATTGTTTACGTTATTGAAGGTACGCTTCTCCTTGTTTCCACACCCCTTTTATTTCCAGTCCTGGCATGAAAAATACCAAGAGTTTTTGCCCGACTCTGCATTCACTGAGACCTATGAAAGGGTTTTTCGGGACAGAGATCAGACGCGCTTGCAGCCACTTAATTTGCATTGGTTTCCGAACCGCAATATAGTAAGTTCTTTGGCTATCCTATTCTTTTTTATTTAATGAAATAAAGCATCAAGTAGTAGGAGGTTGTGATACGACAACTGCAAAATGTTTTTTAAGGAGCTGAATTTTTTTATCATCCTGGCCATTTTTAGACTGGCCAAAAGAATTGCTGAACACAACTGGAGCCGCACCGTACATATATCTCTGCTAATGTTCACTTAACTAATCAAGTCCTCCGCTCATGCCAGACTCTACGTCACAAGCCTCGCAGAGAGAAGGACAAAGCCTTGATGATGAAATACTAGTTCTACTATAGACGAATAACAGATCATGCAAAATGATTAAAAACGGTGGCGTACTGTAACTTAGTATTGATAACTGGTTATTAACTCCATCGTTATTGCACTCATTTGCGGAAGAACTGGTTATCAAGTTAGCGCCGGTGATCACTGGCTCTACGCATGTGCCGGGGATATCGTAATTAGGCAACTTCTGTTGTCGGCATTAGTGAAAACGTCTCAACGCGTCAGTAAAGTGCACTAACGTCAGTATGCACGTCGCGTTTATCCCTTTCCTGAGCACTTTGGTCTTAAGACCACCACTATTTCTGTGCTAAACGAGGACTTGAAGGAAGGCCAGAGGTTTGCTTACTTGCTCCTCCATCGTAAATAGAACGTCCATCAAGACGGCCTTGAGACGATTTGGAATTTTGGCACCTCGTCCCGTTCAGTGACAAGAAAAGTGTCATTAACTTAATGAGCTCAGTATTTCGGTCTGTAGTTTACGCTAATCAACGGCTTCAACCGCTGCAAGACCAACACGAACATGTGCGAATCCGTAAATATGCCCCTAACATGCTCGTAGATTGTTCTGTGGAACGTTAAGCGCGTCTTGAGAGATAACTTCTGGAGTTGGAAGAAATGGGCGTGTCCTAGGCAATTAGCCGTTTCATCGTATGTGTCTGGTAGGGGTAGTTCAGTGGTTTCTACTGTCACGTAATACGCAATGACCTGCTGCTACCATTATTATATGAAATTTCCGCTTGTGGGAGTTTAAAATGAGAAGTAAAAATATCTGGCCTCTACTCTTCTCTTTCCGCCGATCGCGTTATCTTCTTGATCTTCTGAACTACTTATTGGAACTCGCCCGTGCGCTTCTCCACACAGATGCCGATTTGTGCATTCCTCGCCGGACTATATTTCTTACAAGATCTCGTGGCCTTTCCTTGCAGCATATGCCTCAACGATGCGGAAACTCCCTTCCTTCCAGAATGTACATCATTCCATTAAAAAAACTCCACATGGAGTACCCCATTCACTAGAAGCCCTCTTATATGGAAGGAATTTTTAGACCACACACCCTTTATTTTATGAGGACGATAAAACCTCTAAGTTTATCCTACATTGCGGGAGCAATCATTACAAACCGAGTTTTTTCCACAGTCTTCTCGATCTTGTCCTGATTAATTGCTCCGACGAAGATTAACAAGAAAAAAAGAGATCCCTTTTTAAATCAATTTAAAAAATCACTGTGCCTTTGATTTCTACACCGCTGTACGTATTCACAACACTGCGGCCGCCCAGAAGCCCACAACCGTCATATGCGAAGAATGTATTCGGGCTCGTCGAAAGACATGTTGTGGGCTGGTATCTTGTGGTCAAACCGGGAAGCAGTTCCTCATTTGTGTAATTGGCCAGCAACTTATGGATAAGAGGCTATTATATTTATCTCAGGCGACTATGAAAACATTGGACATAGTGCATTTATTTGCATGGCAGAAGGGTCGCATTGTTGGGGCTTGCCGAATAAGGAAAGGCCGCGAGTCGCTGGAAGCAGTGCAGTCAGGTGTGACATGCATCATCAAACTTATCGATTTAGATATCTTTAAGTGGGTTTGATGGTTGCCTGTGTAGTATACGTAACGCTGCATATACCGTTTGGCGAAACATCCTCCAGGAATTCATATGCTTTTTGTACGTGTGCATTTGATAGCATATTCGAATAACATTTGCACTTAAGTAGGCATTATTTTGACAGAGCATACGTAAAATGTTGATCCTTGTTCTTTGAGATGCAATAAACACTTTACCTCCCCCGTGTATCTCTATGTTTTACAGATAAACCAGACGTTAGATTCCTTCACGTACGACCTAGGTAACGTTGGAAAGGAACTTTTGGACCGTGGCAATAAAACCTTTGAGGACTTGAAATTACTCTGCGCTGATCCTAAACATCACAACCTCGAACATGCTGAGGTACTTATTGATAGTTATATAATTAATGTTCGCTTTCATTCATCTCTTATAATATGAATTATATGGCTTTTCTTTTCCATCAGGGTAACTACAGAAGATCGAAATTGATTGACCTACTGTAAACTAATGTGGAGTGAATCTTTTGCAATGCAACTTTGAAGGTTTCCGTTAGACGACATGTAAAGCATAGGACTGTTAGCTCACGCCGAGTGACGGTTCATATATGATCAGTCGCTGACGCTTAAATGACCGTTTCGGGCACATAAGATGTCATCGGCTTACCCCGATCGCACGTGGTGGCATTCAACTGGTGTGAATCGAAGCCCAGTTGGTCGTTGAACATGTTTTCACCAAGGTCCTTTTAATCCATGGCATTTGAAAACTGGCGTACCTTTTTTGGTTACCAGTAAGAAGTAAGCAGTTCCTACATGCGCTGACGTTTTAGCTTATTCTTGACTTTGCACTCAATACGGATCACTGATATCCCTCTCAGTTAATCGTGTTATAGGCCCCGACCGTCCAGGCTGTCTATTATTTGAGATCACAACAGACCCAAATTAAAGCATCCCGCAAGCGTTCTACGATTTGCCGCTCCCTCTCCCTATTTATTGTTCCCTCGAAACCGAATCGCGTTTAGCGCTGTTAGATCTGCGAGACAGGCAGTCGAAACTGCTATCCCACAATAGCAACAGGTCAAGCTAAGCCGCGTCCAATACCCTGGATATGACGAAAGCGACAACGTACCCGGTCTAATAAAGAAGAACACCTGGAGCAATATGTCCGCTATTGATTCAACATTCAAACCAGTTAAAGTGAAGCGGGAAACAGTTGTACACCAACTAAAACAAAAGGCTATAAAAAAGTTAGAGAAATGTGTATGGCTAGAATTAGTTTAGGAAAGTTGCGTACAAATGAAAATACGGCAAAGTTCTAAACGCGTTCAAGTTTGGTAAACGGATACCACAGCACCATACAGCCAGCCTATCAGCCACTTTTCCATCTCACTAAATTAAACCTGATCAGAAAGCAAAAGTTTAGTAAGATCATTCAGTGCAGGTTAAGGAGTTGATGACCAGAACGATGTCTGTTTGACTGTGGAGGAATATGTTGAATCGTCATGCTCTTGTAAATACCTAGACGAATTGACTTTGAAAGCTATTACAATTGGGTACATTTTTATGAAAGGGATCGGTTTTTGGGATTCCGACAGATTTGAAGGGCATAGTGACTGTTTTTTTTTCAAATCGGTATTGGAAGTTGCGTAGTTATTGCTAAAAGCCGTTATTTCGGTAGTGCTAGTGTTTGTTATGAAACTAGCATTGTTGGTACTGGCACTAGTATTCTAGTATCCTTAGTTATATTGATATTAGTAATAATGGCACAAAGAGCAGCATCTAGAGTCTCGATAGTTCCTGTGATAGTATTATTTGCAGTTATCCCGACGGTTTCGCACTCCATTTTTAAAGCACGAATCAATTTAACTTCCGAGGTTTTGTTAGCTCACGAGTTTTTGGTTTTCGCCTACGGTAGATAAACCTATGGCAGTAAGTTAATTTAGCGCTTAGTGCTTTATTTCACTGTGAGTCGATTTACAGCGTATTTGTCGCGCTTTTTCAGGCAGACGCACAAGACCTACTAAATACGGCCCATATGACCCTTACACAAGTGGAAGCTAATGTGCGGTTTTGGGAGGACATTGTTCAACATGCCGACATTGACGATATATCTCTGCGAGCCATAGGTGCCAGTGGGTACAAGCTTCGTAAGCTGAAGTATGATGTCGAGCAAATAATTGAAAACATAAAGGTGAGTGAAAATCAGTATCAATATCTGTTTATTGAGGGGAAATTTGGTATGTGAATATTAATTCAGATACCGTCGTTTTTAATGATGAGCTATATTACAGGGCGTATAATCACAGACTGTTTACTAGGACCTTCACTATTCTCTCGAAACTGCCTCAAAAATTATTAAGAATATGCTTTATATTCGTTAATTTAATTCATATAATGAAGGGAGTTTCGAAGTGGCCAGGGCTCCGACCTCCAAGGTGATACTTTACCCCTGGAAGGACAAGACCGCGGCCTCGACCGCCTGTCCACACGGCCAGTAAGTATTATCTCAAAGTATTTTCTTTTTTCTAGACCGCATGAAACGTCGCAGAAATCATATCAACTATGCCATTCCGAAAGTTAAGTAGTATTGGGAATGACTTTGTCACAAGCTGCTATCTCGCTAGGTGTAACAGCTGCCGTAGTTGACGCTAAAGTGCATCATACCTGATCTCATAAACACCCAACTCGTGCTTTCTGTCAGTGAAAAAAACACACTTCTTTCCGAGTGTGCCTGCAAAAAGTCAGTTTTGATGAAGCTTTTTGTCACTTAAGCAGCCTAATTGGAAGGAGGGGAGAGCATTTTGAACTTCAGGCCGAAAAACCGTTGATTTCTGCTCTTAGGTATGCTTCTTTTGAAATGTACACTGAAAAACCGTCGAGTATGCCCGGAAGATATTACTGAGGACGAAATACGACAGAAAAGAATAGTTTCGTCTCTGTCTAACCCTGATGTCAATTAATATAACAATCGCTCTTGTAGTTTACTCTGCAAGTCTGGATATTTAGCTAGTAGCTATGCATGCAGTATGGAAGTTAATACGAAATTTGTCGCATATTACAAATAATGGCAGTTTTGGGTGTATTAGGGGCAGTGCTCGTTGTAGTGTTATCGAATTTATCGTGAAAACTGGTTTCTATGCGGGAAGGGTGTTTACTATTAGGAACAGTAGATGCTAAAATGTCTTAAGTAGAAATTCTGCTTGACCTTACTTAAGTTCTTTCATTTTTGCTCACACGTGTACAAACGCATTACCTTGTTTTATCAGTAAAATGTAACAATTGCCTAAAATGGTGTGGAGGACAGCGTATTGCTCTCTAAGAACTTTTAAAACAAAGCCATTTAAAATTTGTACATGAATATGACCCTGAGTTAAATCGCAAGCGTTGTTTATGCGCTTTCCTTTTGCGTAATTGTTATCTTTCATTTAGGAGTAATCTGAGGTCTCGTCTATGCGTGCCTACAATTAAAGATTATGACCGAGAAAATTGGCATGCGTCAGACAGAGTGTCCGTGGAGCAGTGGGTTAGTGCGCTTGATTGCTAACCAACAGATCACGGATCCGAACCTCTGGTTATGTACCACATGGGATTGGGCATGACTGACCGATAACGAAGACCAGAATCCCCCATCCCTCATTATAAAGATGATCACAATCCCTCATTTAGACTACTAATAGGACTAAAAACCAATTTGTCTCTACTGGGAAGTATACCGTTACAAGGGCTTTCTAGGTAGCTAGAAGTGAGTAATACAAACAATTTTTTTTCCAAAACCTAGATTAATTTAACATTCACTGTTCCGTCAAAGGAGCTAACACAGCTGAAATAAGACCCCTGTTCAGAGAAGCTTTCAAAAATGCGTGCTTCCTTGATTTTGTAATTTGTTGTGTCGAATCGACAGTTTGACCGTCGTTTTCGTCGCGATCCACCGGATGCTGCATAGCCGAGTGGCGCAGGATGGTGACTTTCGTTGGATTATAGTGCGAGTGGACTTGCGCAGCATTCACCTCACTCTCCGTTCCCCTCTCCGGTCTGGGTCAAGGGGACTGAAGGCGGGAGAACATGCGGGTGGCTTGCGCGGCTGGAGTCGCTTTTAAGCACACCATCACACCTGTGTCAGATCCAAGCTGGGTGGGAGCGCCATAAAGACCCCAGTAGGAAGGCGCCATTGCAGCCTGACTCTCGGTG